GCGAAAAAGAAGAGACGAACCCTTTTTCCCTTGGTACGTATTATTATTACCTACCTAGTATTATTAGTATTATTAGTATTATTATTCTCATCTTACGCTTGTACCACCCATCACCACATACCACATGCATACCACCCACCCACTCACTCACTCACTCACTCACTCACTACCATCCACCATCCACAATCCACCATCCACAATCCACCATCCACAATCCTACCCGGCTCCATTCTTTCTTTTTACCCTCTTTTACCCTTTGTGCCTTTCCTCTCTCTTCCACTTCCACTTCCACTTTCACCTCTCCCTCCCTCTTTTCAATTTCACCTCCGTCGTTGCTTTTTCCTTCCCACCCCCAATCTTTTAGAGTCAAGATTAACTCTATCTCGTCGTCCTTCCTTTATCGACGAGGATAAATTAAAAGATCAAACGGTCAATAATTCCATTAATCCTTGGTTTGGTTTAATCATTATCTAAAAATAATAATTAAACCATCCATTCACTCACAGTCAGTCTTTGCGACGGGAAAATCAATAATTGGATTACATTCTTTACACCAACCTTCATACGCGATTGACTCCCATTCCCTTCTTTTCGAATACAATTCACATATTGTCAATACATGAATGCCTAGTTGATTATTACCATAATCATACCGATATCGTGCACGATCAATAAGATATTCCGTCGGAGCGAAAGATTACTATTGTCTCGAAACATCAATTGACGTCCATCTACAATCCAATCCATACTCAATCCACAAAATTTCAAATCGGGCAAGATGAAAGGTCGTTCTCATCAACATGCGCGTCATGCGAAGCGCGCCGAGTTAAATCAGGAAGATATCATGGCAGCACCAATTGAGGTCAGGCAACCAGATCCAGAACCAGAACCAGCTTTACAAACAATTGTATCAGTTGTTTATGTCACAGCTTCACCAACCTTTAGCGGATCGATTGCAGGTTACTCAACGGTCGGACAAGAAGATGAAACAACATCATCGGCTGAAGAGACACACTCCTCAACTAAAACTACAGCCGCCAAGACAACTGCAACTTCTTCAAGTGCAAGTCACACAACGACTTCGGCCTCCACTCTCAAAACCTCCGCTTCCAGTTCTTCCGAACTTCCCAGTTCCCTCGTCGCCACAACGTCGGTAGGAAGTTCGGTTGCTCTTCTCGCAGCCACCGACAATATACCAACAAGTACTGCAGTCGCCTCAGCTACGAATGCTTCCTCCGCCAATGCTTCCTCAACTGCTGCAGCAGATTCGTCGAGTTCCGGTATGAGTGCTGGTGGTAAAGCAGGATTGGTCGTTGGTATTTTGTTATTGCTTGGAGTTGGACTTGCTCTTCTTTTATTTTTCTTTAAGAAGAAGAAGCAAGCGGCCAAGGCTGAACGTCTGGATGATGAGAAATCTGCCATGGTAGCTTCATCAGCTCGTCGCGCAGAAGCTACACGTGCAGAAGTTCAACGTCAAGCAAGTCAACGTTCAGATGGAGGAGGAGCAGCTGCAGCAACGGCCGCTCATCGTTTATCTCTCCGGCCTGTGACACAATTCCAACCCTTCAATGAGAAATCTCGAGCCAGTCAAGCGCCTTCTCAAATGGGTGGCATTTTAACACCAGTGTCAACTGCGCCAAGCTATCACTCACAACAATTTCAGGACCAGAACAAAAACAATCCATTTGGTAACCACGCTGAATCTATCGATACTCCCAACACCAATGGTCCTCCTATTATAGAAGGTTTCAACGATGGAGGTGAAGTAATTGCTGCTTCTGCTGTCGTTGCTGCTGCTGCATCGTCTTCTACTTCTAATTCTCCTACTCCAGCCCCTCTCAAACCAGTTGGTTTAGCTCGCAGTGCTTCTAAAGCCGGCAATAGTCTCAAAATGGATTTCACTACTAAGCCCAATACAGTTTTGAGCCCACCAAGTCCTTCTGGTTCTGAATTCAGTACTGCGTCGGGTGCTACTCAAGCTCAATCTGTAACCGGTATGGCTATTGCTGCAGCTGGAGGTCCTCCTAATACTACTGTTCACCGAGTTCAACTTGATTTCGTTCCTTCCATGGATGATGAACTTGAACTGAAAGCTGGCCAATTGATTCGAATTTTGCATGAATATGATGATGGATGGGTAAGTTTCCACACAAAGCTTTACTATGAATTACACATACTGATTGAACATAGGCTCTTTGCATTCGTCTCGATCGATCTAAACAAGGTGTCGTTCCTCGAACATGTCTCTCTACTCGTCCTGTTAAACCACGTCCTCAACAACCTGGTCCTCAGGGTTCACCGGCTATGCGTCCTCAACAACGTCCTATGTCACCTGGTATGAATCAAGGTCCTCCTCGCGTTCCTAATAAGGATGGTGGTCCACCTTATCCAGCATCTCCAATGAAACCAAATGGACCTCCCAATGGACCTCCAAGACCCATGGGACCAAATGGACAAGGCCCTCCCCGTGGCCCTGGTATGATGCAAGGTCCCCCGAGATCTATGTCACCAGCCGGACCACCCAGACCAATGGGACCAAATGGACAAGGTCCTCCTCGTGGTCCAGGAATGATGCAGGGTCCTCCAAGATCTATGTCACCAGCTGGCAACAGACCCATGACGCCTCAAGGTAAACGCCCAATGGTCCCTCCAAATCACCCAAATCAACAAAGACCAATGACACCTCAAGGTTCATCTGTCCCAAGACCCATGACTCCACAAGGTCAGGCGACCGAACAACGACCAATCACTCCACCAAATCATGAAGTGGCTCCACAAAGTGAAGGACGTGCTCGAAGTGATTCGGATACCGATCCTATCTCTAGACAAGCAAGTCCTACATTGATTACATCCGCGCCAACAGATACTCCTTCATCTCCACCACCTGCCCTAAATATCAGAAGTCCGGTGGAGAGGAAGCCCGTTCCAGGTCAAGCCATGTAATTTGCCTATCACACGAATATGGGATGAATAGATTATCTATATCCTAACATAGACTTCCTTCAAGTACAAAGATAGGGTCTTACATATGGCGCAATTGGAAATCGAATTGATCAGATAAAATTCGATATGAACAGAACGACAAATGTACACAAGTTTTTATTGGCGCATTTGCATCAAGTCGTTTAGCAAAATTCAATATTTTCTTCCTTCAATTCTTTCGCACCAAGTTTGCAATTCTTTTGTGGATGGTGTTGTTATTTTACATTTTTTTACGTTGTTCTTTCGGAGGAGTTCAGAGCCAAATTTAATACACTTGTTACATGGGCTAATAACAATAATGTGTATCTATGAACATTCTTCCTTTCTACGACGGAGCCTTTTACTTTTGAGATACCTTTCTATTCTAGGAAACATGTTATGTTGGGTGTGAGTTGAGACTTTCAGGTTTCAATGCTAGTCATTGATGGAAAGATTGATTCAAGGGGAGGAAAGAATGGGAAGTGGGATGAATTGGTGATAAATCTCAATTGGTTGGCATGAGACATTGAGCCAACAAAGAGCTGTGCTTTGAATCGATTCGATGGCTTGTTTTATATCATCCTTCCATTTGAGTGGTTTGGTTGATTAGGATTGGTTTTGCTATTATTGAGCGGTAGTATTTTGGGATTGTAGATGAGGAATCTGTGGAAGGAGAATTCTTGCTAGGTCTCATTCATTATTTGATTGATCTGGTTTTGAGACTGGATGATATTCATATGTGGATATGAAATGATGGGAGTGGAGATATTTAGTTGTTAGATAGGGATATGAATAAAAATAAGAATAAGAATAAGAAAATAAGTTTTACAATGGGTTGAGAGGGTCCGTGAGATTCTTGTGATGTTTTGTGATGTGCGGATTTAAGCTTTGAAGTTTGAATTTGGGTAGGATGGAGGATGGAAAGGGGTAGGCTAAGTTGAGTGGCAATTGAAGAATGAGAATGATGGTTTATATATCTAAATAGATTTGAGGGAAGGGGAGTAATAAGCGGATCAGATTTTGAGGATATATTGTTGATTCATTGGTTGAGTGGTTAAGGCTTGCAAAATGAAGGGTATGAATGTATTGAGGTATCAAATTGAGTGGGATGGGATGGGATGAGATGGGATGGGATGGGATGAGATGGGATGGAATGCGATGTGTGATAGGGGGGTAGAAGGGTAGAACTCAGACGACGGAATGTGGAGTTTGGAGTTTGGGAGATGGAAGAGGAGGTGGGAGGGGAGGTGAGATGGGATGGGGGGTGGAAGAGTGGAGGGGCAAAAGAGTGGAAGAGGGATTGCGGGGGTATTTGTAGTGGTTGGAGAGGGAGAGGGATTGGAGATGAGAAGAGAGATGGGGGAGGGAAGGGAGATTGGGGGGGATTGAACTTGATTGTGTTGAGTGTAGTGAGTGAGGTGAGTGGGGTGGATTGGTTTTTGATTTTTGGGCTTTGATTTCTTGTGGATTTTGTGGATTTTTGTGGTTTGGGAATGGGATAGGGATGGGAAAGGGATGGGAAGTGAGATGGGAAAAGAGATGGGGATGGGGATTGGAAGATGGGAGATATATAGAATGGAGAGAGGTAAGGTGTGTGACGGAGAGGTGGGGGAAGAGAGGAGAGGAGTCTTATTTAACTATTTATTTATTTGTTTTAGGTGCGTTTTTGGAATTGGGAATTGGAGATTAGGATGACGATGGATCGTAGTTTGAGGGGATGGTACAAACAAAATAGAATAGATAGAAATAGACTCCATTACCGCCGCCACCCATTCCCGCACATTATTAAATGAATTATATTTAATCAAATTCTAATCATAAAGAAAGAAAGAAATTCATATCCGATGCTCGGTGTAATCTCCCTTCCTCTATTCTCTTCTTGGTCTGTAAAAAGTCATTTTATGTATAAATCCCGAGATATGTGTATATAATCCCGCTCCGTGTTTAAATTTCTGAGCGGAGCGTGTTGACCTACTATCTAGTGCGTGAACGAAACTGGAACTGCGTTTGGGTGGGTTGTGCGGTGGGGTTTGGTGGAGATGGGTGTTGTGTGGTGTGTGGTGTATGATTTGTTGGGTTGGGTTGGATTTTCTGGGGGGGGAGGAGAGAGGAAGAGAGGAAGGGGGGAAGAGAGGGAAGATGGAAAGGAGTTTTGGGGGTGGATGGATTGGGGTTTGATATTTTGTGGAAAAGGGAATGGATTTGGTGGTAAGGGCGATGAAAGTGAGAGTGAGAGTGATGATGATGATGATGATGATGATCAAAAGAAGAATTTAAAATCTGAGGAATATGAAGGAGAAGAATGGAGGGATGTTTGGATTCAGACTTTGAGGGGGGGAAGAGTTGAGATTGATTACTTGGTAGGTTAGTAAGTTAGTTGTAAGTACAGTGGGTGCATTTTAGTTCCAGGACTAGAGTAGAGTGTATGATTGCAGATGGATTTTTGTTGATTGCGAATTGTGAGTTGTGGGGTTTGTGTGCGAAATTATGCTAACTTATTGTTGATAGAGAAGAGAGAAGGAAAAGCATATGATTAAGACTGAGATTACTTGTAGTGTGTTGAGATGAGTGATCGGGGGTGAAGAATGGTTGTTTTGGAAGGGGGGTATTTATAGTATATAATGTACTGTTTATACTCCGTATAATGAATTCTTGTGAGTGATAACTCACATGCTAGATAAATCAAGCCCCTTCTGAGAGGAAGAATATGATTTTCGGTGCTGGTGATTCTCCTTTGGCTCCAGGCAAATGTATAGGTTTGAAGAGAAGTAAGTTGTGAAGAGTCAGCAGTGGTGTTTCTGGATTGTTCAGAACTTGACAGTGCTTGAGGTTCAAGGGTATATATATAGAACTATATCAATAATCGTGGTAACAGTGGGATCTTTAGTATTGATAGTGATGTTACCAAACTATCGAGCTCTTTCCTAATACTAATATTCCTTGATGGGATATTCCAGAACTGGGGATGTGAAGGTTACTTGTGGAGTAGGATGCATACGGTTGGCGAAATTCTTCGCGGAGCAGTGAATAAACGCTGTGTATGGTTGGATTATAACTATTTTATAGATGTGGAATGCAAAATTTGTACATGAGATGACCTTTCCATGTTGCTGGAGATTTGGATTGGGTATCGAATGATACTGTTTGTGCATTGAATCATGGCTGATCAAAATCGTTGTACATATCTTGGTGATTTCGGTTGCTCATTGAATCAACCAATTGACATCTGATATGGATAGAAAGGTACGAGTCTTTCTGTTTTGTAGATCTTCAGTATAAGCGATGCACGAAAAACGAAGATTTCTTAGGGGAGCTTTCTTCCCAATTGTGAGTTTGTTCAAACGGTTTATCCACAAATTAAGATCTTACATAACCCCAAGAACTTTCTGTGATGCGAATCAACACAGCGAAAGATATTCGACAGCACTCGACCAAATATCAGGAACAATACAAACAATAGAAAAGAGAAAAGAGCAGCAACAGTATGATATGCAATAATGGTGACGTCAAGTACGATGAGAAACCTCTCCATCTATGTCTCAAGAGTCTGAGACATGAAATATCTCGTCATCATCGAAAGGTGCAATGAACACTTGAAATTGCAAATTTCGTTTTCTACAATTTAGATTGAATTTTATACACTTATTGTATTTCCACAAAGAGATATAAAAACCAACACACAAACGTTACAAAAATTGAATATCCCCAGAATCTCGGGATCAAAAAACAAATCCCTCTTCTCGGTCGAAAAAAAAAATCTCTAGCTGTCTTAAGTCTTCCCCATTTTCCCACTCGGCAAACTGGAAAAGAAGGAAGAAGGCCCGAGCCCCAGCACGACCCATAGCAATTACCGAGTCCTTCCACGGACCAGAACATGCTCTTGCGCAGCGTCAATTCCGCGCTAGGAAGTGGCTTGGGGTTTATTTTTGAGCCGCAGAGTGGAGGTGTCGGAGACGCTAGTGCCTATTGGGTGGAAGGTTTGATATGAGGATGTTATATTAATATGTTTGATATAGGGATTGATATAGGTGAAGGAAGAGTTAGGAAGGTTGGGAGGAGGGAAAGTAAGAGGGTATTATTATTAGATGGGGATATTAGATGTGCAACATTCAGTGATTATGGGGTCTGAGAGTTTGATGGGAGAGGGGATGTGGGAAATGGGATGGGTGGTTACGGGAGAGGCTTATTTGAGGGATGGAGATCACAGTAGATGGGGACTTATTATTATTAGGGAGGTATAATAGATGTGCAACAAAACGTTTGAAGAATAACGGAAGAGAAGGAAGTGGAGACATGATGGAAGATGGATCGGATTGTATTGAGGCCTGTGTTGGTCGTGGAGAGTGATCTGAAAATAGGTAGTTATAGTACTATTTTGTAGGTATATTATTATTAGAAAGCTATATCAGATGTGCAACAAAATCTATTCGAAGCCATTAAGAAGGGTGGAGGAAGCATGTAGAATATAGGTTAACGGAATTTACTCCCGGGTTAAAGTATATATGACCTTCTGTGCCAGTGGTTGGACATGTAATAAATCGTGATGTAGAGAACCTTTTTCAAGTAGACTTTGTATGTGCATACTAGGTAGTAGGTAATTGCATGACGGATAGAAAGTTCGAATGAGACTCTAAAAGTTCCGATTTTCAGTACGATGATTAGATAGTTTGAAACACTGGGTTCACTATGTAAATAGTATAATACTTTCAAACATAGAAAGTTTGCATTCAACCCCCAATCAAGGAATCTATGGTCTGATGTTGAAATTTTCCCACCGAATACAAGAGGAAGTAAGTTTTTTCGGCCCGTGCACATGAATAGTACCACCACAAGTTCCAGAAGTTCTAGCTCTTCCCAAGATTTGTCTTGGAATAACTAAGACAACCTTTCTTGCATGTTCTAGATAAAACCCACACAAAGCCACACAAAGCCCGATAAACTATTCATAAAACCTTACCTGGCTATCTCCCACCATACTAAACCATTCCCTCGACCACGAGAAATCGAAATGTTGCATATCTAATCCATGATTCTAATAATATCACGGATTATTAAACTCTCTGCCTGTTCTTCATCAAAAGACTTTCTGATGTCAACAACTTCGCCTCGATCGTGGAGTGACCAGTCTATAGCCGCTTTCAACTAAGGCAGACAGTATTAACAAATATCAGACGAGAAGTGGGGGATCAGAATACCTCGGCTCAGTCGGTTGATAGCAGGAGTGGGGAAGTAGAAAGTTCTGAATAGCAAATGGATCAGGGCGGATGATAGTGTGATCTGAGCTTTAGGTAGAGATTTTATACGATTTCTGGACTCGATATTCTTCAGTCTCAAAATTGGGTCTATGGACCGAGAATATTGAGGCAGAAGTAATTGAAAGGTATCGTGCCTAATTGGTGAAGCTCGAACTTCAACCCATTCGAGAGTTGGAGGCGTATATAGATGTGCAGCGCGGCTTTGGTAGTGTAGCCGCAAAATATGTTTGCCTTGATCTTTGGTTCCCAAATCAATCATTGCATCTCTTCACGTCGAAGGAAAGATCAGAATGAAGGGCAGAAATGAAGGTCAGAAATGAAGATCAGAAATAAAGACGTAAAGAAACACGCTTTTCTTTCCCTCTTCCAAAATCTGCATTCCTCTCGACATGCGGAGCCAACCTGCTTGTATTATTCCAGTGACTGCTATAGACCATCAAGCGATAGTCTTTTGAGCTCTGCATCGCTGCTTGTTGTCTGAAAGTGATTTAATCTCGGGCGCATGGCCATCAGCATGTTTAGCTGGCCAAAGTGCCATGGTAGCCTTTATGAGATTGCTGCCAGTGTTGAAGCTTAAAATTGGTACTACCAATTATCTCGCTTTAACAGCGCAGCCTTGTATTCTGGCTCTCACTTTATCGTAAGCCAGAACATGGGTTTTCAAATGCTCCACAGCTCTGTAAGAAAAGCGTCAGGTCACGGGTGTCTTGATGAATGAAAATTTTGCCAGAGTGTCCCTGACGATCATATACTGTTGATTCTCAAGTATCTAGAATTCTAGATGACAAAGTATAATAAAGCATATCGGCGGCATCAAAAAATTGAAGCTCTAGTCACGAGATGCAAAATTCACAAAGGTAAGAAACGGAAAATATACAAATATGGGACGATAACGGTTTACCCCGCCTGCAGATAAGCGGATGTCGCTGCCGTTTACTCACCCTTGCTCTTCTTTAATCGACCAACCAGTGAATTGCCCGCACGCAGTAAACGGTTACCTGCAGCTCACTGAGCCTTACTTTACTTTACCTTCACTTTCACCATTACCTTCTTATAATTTCCACCTTGGAAATATCAAATCTCTCTATCCTGTCATATCTGAAGTCATTCACGTTTCTCCCTATATTTGATACTTTCTTCTCTTTGAATTCTCTCGCCAGTCTTATGATATCTTGTTGACTTGATAATCGTTTCCATTTCTACGGTGGTGAAATTCATCAAGGCGCAATGGAGGTATTCGCGACAAACGTACCAGTTCAGACTGGAGAGCACGATCTGCGGAATTTTCTAAGGCCCAAGTTGAATAGTCTTGCAATTCGTGCATTTCATTGCTACACTGCGCGAAGCAAAGACTTTGCGAAAATCACCTTTCGGACGATTGCTGATGGAGAAAAATTCCTACGAAAGTTTGGTGAACGGAGACCAAGAAATAGACAACGAAACCCAAGGGCTACTCCGGCAAAGCTTATTTATCACAGTACGCCGATTTATTGTGAGAAGAGTAGATCAGATGCTGATCCATATTTGCTCCGATGCTTGGAAAAAGAAGAGGAAGAACGTGTTGAGAATTCCCATCTTAATCATGGCCCACCAATTGCTAACACTTCTTTTGAATGCTCTACAATCATGTGTGGCAATTGGAATTATGTTAGAGAGACTTTGGTCTTCATGCCGGAGGTAAAATGGCAAAGTAGGACCGTTGTTCATTTCAAGGAGAGAGCAATGATATTGGTTCTGGACAACGGATCAAGGATAGTAATTCGGTATGATACAATTGAACTTCTCACAACTGATGGCGGTCATTACCCAGGGATTACTGCGACGCTTCATCAATCCCCTCATTTCTTCAAATCGCCCCCTAAAGGCGATCTTCTTGAGATGACCAATATGCTTGGTAATGTAAACCTCAGAAACGGCAGCAGACCTCACCCAAAAAGGTCTCGAGTTGCTGGTCTTAGCGATAAGCACAAGGAGATTGCAGGTAGCTCTCTTGTGTATCGCTGTACATTCAAAGATACAAATGGATTTTCATCGGATATAGAAAAAAAGTTGGAAACATTAAAGAATGCTCGAGGCATTCCCCCAATGATTCATCATTCTGCTTCAATTATTCCACCTGGAGAATCTCATATTACCGAACTCAGAGAACTCCATGAAGCTTTGGAGAGTTTCAATAACGAACTTCCATTCCCATTGACATTTCAAGTCCAAAAGCTAGCCCAAAACGGATATCTGTCTCCTCGTCAAATAATCGATCTTCTACCGGCCTTCAATTCAATGTTTGAAAGAACTACTCTTCCAATTTGCGTCACGACTATGAGGAGACTATTTTTGCAGATCCCGTACCCTGGACCCAATGTTAAAGCGGAAGATTTTGACAAGAACGCCATCATTGAACTACTTGGGGATATTGAGAAGGCCTCGACTCAAGAGGCTCTGTATGCCGAAGGTTTTGGGGGTACAGCTTCTCAAAATACTGCTTTGATTCATAGAGTTACCATTACTCCTGCCGGGATGTATTTAGATGGTCCCGAGTCTGAGAGTAACAATCGCATACTCCGTAAATATGCTGGTGAGCCTCATTATGCTTCTCCTTCATTCTTTTTCTCTCATTTAATTTGAGATTTCTCCCCTATCGAATCCAAAGATACCATTCTAGCATACTGATGACTTATTCTTACTAGGCAGCCATAGCAACTTTGTACGCGTGACATTCTGCGATGAAGATGGCGGTAGAGTTCAATATGCCTCAAATGTCTCTAACGACGAGATTTTCGACGGAGTTTTCAAGAACGTTCTACAAAATGGGTTTCCAATTGGAAAACAGAAATATGAGTACCTGGGCTCTTCACATTCCTCTCTTCGTACACAATCTTGTTGGTTTGTGGCACCTTTCATACAAAACAATAAAGTTTATGATGCCCAGCGTATTATCGACGACTTAGGCCGATTTGAACATATTCGCTCTCCGGCCAAATGTGCGGCACGAATCGGACAAGCATTCTCTGATACACCAAATACTCTCACTCTTGATGATACTGTTACAATAGAAACAATCACTGACGTCGAACGAAATGGCAGAGTCTTCAGTGATGGAGTAGGCACAATGTCGGAGTTATTAATGCACAAGATATGGGATAAACTACCGAACAAACACCGTGTGAAGCCGACTTGTTTCCAAATTCGCTATCAAGGTTAGTCTGAACATCATTTGACTCTATGATATAGTTGCCGTTCTTGAATTAAGCTTACCAATCATGGCAGGCGCCAAAGGGATGATTTCTCTGGATAGTCGTCTCCCAGGCGTTCAATTACGACTTAGAAATTCTATGATAAAGTTCGAAGGATCGAGTTCGAATGATCTTGAAATATGCGGCGGTGCATACAAGCCCCTCCCTATGTATCTCAATCGACAATTCATTAAAATTCTGGAAGACCTAGGAGTGGAGCCTGAATACTTTATGAGGCTCCAAGCAAAGGAAATCTCACGATTAAGAGCAATTACAGCCAATGCATACAACGCATCGACATTTCTCCAAAGTAAAAGAGTTGGAGATGTTGTCCTTCTCCCATACCTTATTGACCACTGTTCTGCTTTAGATTTGGACTTCAGAAATGATTTGTTTTTACGGGATGTTCTCGAAATGACAGTCTTGATTGAGCTTCGTACTTTGAAGCACAAGGCCAGAATACCTGTCGAGAAGGGTTATCATCTGCATGGTATCATGGATGAGACTGGAATTCTAGAAGAAGGCGAGATTTATTGTTGTTGGCTTGAGGATGGAAGACGCACAACTCTAGTTGGATCGAATGTTGTTATCACTCGTGCTCCTGCCCTTCATCCCGGAGATATCCAATGGGCAAATGCCGTGGATGTTCCAGCTGATTCTCCGCTGAGGAAACTTTACAATTGCGTTTGCTTCAGCCAGAAAGGTCCTCGGGATCTACCAAGTCAGCTATCAGGTGGGGACCTAGATGGAGATCTCTATTATGTTATGTTTGATCCAGACATGAGATTAAAGAGGACTGTAACGCCCGCAGACTACTCACGATTGCCACCTCGGGACATCGGCCGTCGAGTCGAACAACCAGACATGGCAGATTTTTTTCTGACTTTCATGAAGACAGACCAACTTGGCGTTCTGTCCAATAGACATCAAGTGTATGCAGACCAAGATGTGATGGGAACCGAGTGTTCCAATTGCCTTAAATTGGCGGAGCTTTGCTCGACTGCAGTTGACTATTCCAAAACTGGAATTCCGGTATGATATTTTTTACCAACACACTGAGATTCTTCACTAACTTTTAAACTCCATTAGCCTGAGCTTGGTCACCCAAGTGTCCCCAGGAATGCCCTCTGGCGTCCTGACTTTATGGCTCCAGGTCCTCATATCAAAATATCCCATCGGCCTGACGATCGTTTGGAATTCGTGAAAGAGTATGTCCCAATTGAGGCAATGGACGAAGAGGACGAAATCACCAATATCAAGTATTATGAAAGCAAAAAAGTTTGTGGGCGGCTTTACCGTGCGATTGATGAGCGAAAAGTCTTTGAGGACATTCAAAAGCTGAACGTACAAGCTAACGATAGTCCCGGGGTTATGCAGCACATGTGGGAATTCGTCAAATCTCGTTCCCAGGGTATTCAATGGCAACATTTGCGCGAAATTGCCCTCGAGATTCAAGAAATGTGAGTTTCCACAAGCTGTCAAGATAGTTCAGACTGTGGTCCGATAATGTGGGGCTTTGATTTTTGGATTCATCTACAGCATTGAAACGATTCGAGTATTTGAAATAGCTCGAGCATTGAATCACCGAAAATTAAAGCCTTACAACCAGTCCGCCAGTCTCGACTCTTGAACAATCCCTATTCTCATGTTTCCTTTTTCTTTCCCACGACTTTATCAACTGACAAAAGTACAGTTATGAAAACAATATGCTAGATATAATGCATGAGTACAGTGAACATCCAGCTCGTCCCATCAGCGAGCGCGAGGTATTCGTCGGCAACATTCTCGGGAAAGTTGGGTCTGTAAGCAAAAAGCAGAGAGAGCTATGCACCAGCATGAAAGAGAAATATGACGAGATCGCGGCATTCATTGTCAACTGCATTATCAAGGTCAATGATGAGTATTCGGATGAGGCTCTTGAGCGAAGCATTGCTTGTTTTGCGGTTTCTTTGGATGATAGAAAGAGGAAAGGCGCTCGAGACGAACCTCTAAAGAGCTTCACATATTTGGCTGCGGGTGTGTGCTTGAGAGAAATGGAGAGAGTACCTGGCCTTCTTCCGAATAGTTGGCAGGGGTAGAAATTGGTGGTTAATTGTTCGTGAGGACTTGATACATTTTTTTTCTTTACCAAGGATAAGCTATGATTACATCAAACTTGACGGAGATGAGGGAATGGATGGGAATATGGATTTTTATTACGAATGGAGTGGCGGAGCTCGATGTGCTTCTAATGATTTGATGTCACGGTTTCTTTTTCTTTTTCAATGGGTTCTGCTTAAATTTCGCTGGTCTCTTATTTTGGTGTAAACTTTAGCTACCTAGGTAGAGAGCTTTAGAACTCTTGAAAAGTTCAATAAACTCATGGTACACTATGGCATGAGTAACTTGCATAATACTTGACAGCCCTCTAGACAGTGTATTTGATAGTCCAGCCTATAGTCCGACAATTGAAGTTTCTTGAATGTTGAGACCAACCGGATATAGAAATGTATACACTTGTTGAAATAACAAATTGATTGAACTGACGAGAATCTTCTCACTTAAAGCCTTCATCTTAGGTTCCGTTCCTCTGTCACATCAGTGCTTTCTAGAAAGTGAACTATAGTCTCATCAAATCTAAAATGATAGAAATTGAAATACAAAGTAATAATTACCCCTTTTTTACCAGTTTCGCACACAAGATTAATAGTTTATAAGCTAATGTCTTTCCATTCTTCTCTTCTCTTCTGTTCTATAGCCCTAGTCTCTAGAGTAGCAGGACCCCTTATATTTCTCTATTCTTTCCCTGCGGAGATGTTTATTTGTGAGAGAAGTCTTGAGAGTGGGATATACATCTTTCCATACCCACTGATCCGACCTTGCTACTCCCCTCGCGCTCGATCTATACTATATCTCGTATTCAAAGGTGCGATTATAGATCTAGGATTGACTATGCATTGTATCCTGGTGATTCGTCGATGTATTTACTGACGTACTGTGTTTACCACAAAGAAAATGCGATTAGCCATTCCTGAATTCAAATCTTTAAGAAGATTACGGAAGGTCTTACGTGTCTAAGACTATAAAATAAGTCAAATGATTCGATATTCTAGATTTAAACTTGAAATTTTCCTAATTCAACCTAATCTGACCATGGGTCATATCCAGTATCAGGATGTGGCCATCCAAGGTCCTCTGCAATATCAGACCAACGCAGAATTTCTCCGTCTTCGTCGTCCGAGTCAAAATTGTAACGACTGCTACTGGCCCCACCGAGCCTCGCCAGGTGTTTTCTAGCTTGCTCGTTCTTCTTTCTTTGCCTCGCTTCCTCTCGTTTCTTCTCTAAATGCATCTCCTTGATTTTCGTCGCTTCAACCCAAGTCCGAAATGCTTCTTTGTTGTAGGTGCAGAATAATACAACCTCTCTTGTAGCCAAAACATCCTCCAAACAGTCATGAATCTCGTCCTTGTTATTTCTGATTTTTACATTGAGTAGTTCAGAGCATAGCGTTTGCAATCCCCATCTAATGCGGCGAATTCCAATGGCATTTCTTGACAAGATTCCAGAATCCACGATAAGGGGATGAATTATCCGTAAAGCTTCTAAATCGTGCTGTAATGCATGACCGACAAGGATTGTCTTATCATCAATATATTTCCACAATTCTGATCGAGCTTCCTCCCAACCAGACAGTGTTTGTCCTTGTAAGCTCGCATTATCAAGTGTGGATTTCGATATACCATGGATTGAAGACCGCATTTGGGTTATCTTCTCTCTCGGACACACCAATCGATTGAGAAGTACTGCGCCAGTAATATAGTCGATAACACAAAGCAAAATGACTTCACTGCCTCCTCCAGCAATGCCTGCCATTTCGCAGTCGACTGTCACCGCCCGGAACTTTAGCTCCGCGGATGCGGTTGGTGTTTTTCGATACTCTTGATGTAGAATCGCTCGGAGAGGTAGTTGGAAGTCGTGTACTGGTAATGTCTCACAACCTCTTCCCTCCGTCCTGCAACATTTATATGGCCTCTTTTGGTTCTGCAGAGGTTTCAAAGTATGAGTATCTACTGATATCGAAAGCTTTCTGTGGTGACACATACCCATTTATTCCGTTTGTACCGATGAAAGTGGCACTCTCGGCCGATCGCATTTGTCTCTAAGCCTGTTCCTGATTTAGCTCACTCTCATAAGCAACACTAAGGAACTTACTATTACACCGTGTGCATTTTCGTGAATTGATATAATCAAGCGAGTTATATGTATTTAAGATATAGCCGTTCTCTTTGAGCTCTGTCGGGGAATGACAATGTGCGGATAATTGATTGAGCACTGCCATATATTCAGACTCTGCAATCGCAGACCAGGGGGAATTCGCAACTTGAAGGTCGGCCCCGATGATAGGCATTATTATATTGGGAGTCATGGGACTGGATGCAGCTATAGTTTGCGCTAAGGTATGGATGTTAAGAGTCTGCTGCGGCTTTGCTGGCTTGACTTTGGTAGGAGCCACTTGCTTCTGCTGTTTAATACTCGGTAGCTTTATTTGTAAGGGTGTTTGGACTTGGGGAGGTCTAGGAGTAGACTTCTTGTGTGCAGAGGAGCTCCGGACATGTTGATCAAGATCTACCTGTGCATTGAACGACCTGTTGCATAGTGCACAGTAGACAGACATTTTGTGTGCAGGGGAGTCTCGAATGTGTTTATCAAGATCGTTCTGTACTTTGAACGATTTGTTACATAGTGCACAATAGACAGGCATCTTTATTGTAGAGTACAGAGCTGTATAAAAGCATAGGGAGTGTTCTGTTAAAATGATTTTTTGAATAGCAAACAATGATGAGAAATGAAACTTGAGGGAAGATTGACACGTTAGAGCAGAAGCGGGGTAAATCACTGATTAAAGCAGGAAAGTATGATGCGCAAGGATTACGATAGGGGCTTACGTTACTCAACAGTTTGATGTCCACGTTGGTAAGAAATCTACGATAATATACAATAATTGATGACTCATCAATGATCAGTACATACAGTACTACCCGCTCAACTCATGTTCATCCGACCTAACCACCACTGTCTTGATCTACAGCACTTTTAATTTCTCTATCTACTGGTGCAAACTAGATCTTCAACACATTCCCTAACGATTAGAGATGATGTTTACAATATTTGAAATAAATGGGGTATATAGTAAAACTAGAGCTAGCTAATAATTCGAAAGCTTATTACAACCTCTTTTGATGCTAAAACCCACTCACTAATTTAGTATGCTGGTCGATATCCATCCCCACGGTCTGTATAATCCTGGTCTAGCTTATCATACATTGACCCCGACATCAATCACTTGGGGATTTAAATAGTGTGAAATAGTTGATTTCGTATACAATGATACTATGATAGTTGGAAAGGGAGGCAGTTGGAAATAAGAGTAAAGGGCTTGTAAATGATACATTTCTGTAATGATTAATAGTTGAGAAAGCAGGAATACAAGAGGAGGAGTATGAGGCGAGGAGTAGGGAGACTTGATAGCTGACTGCGAGGATATATAGTTACAAAATGGTGGGTGCTACATTTCCACAAAGGAGCTTCACATACATATTTGTATACTACACGCTCATAGGAAGTCATGATACATAGATACAATATAACTTCCCTCTCATACTAGGAAGTGAAGGAGAGTCCACAGAAAACAATTTATCTCTTATCTTTACACGAGACGCTGTGAAGACTATGCATTGCAGTGTCAGCATCGTTTAAAGTCGGCCCCGTTTCCTCGAGTTTCTGACAGCTCTATTTCCACGTTTCTAGGATCCTTCTACTGCAAGCATTATACTATAAGCATTTTGTTGATCAACAATATTTAGAGCTGAAGTATCACAAGAAATCTGAGTGTAGAGTATTTCGTGAAAAACCACTTCTAAGATCGATTCTGATAAAATCAGTCCCTCAAATAGTATCCTGGGCCCAACCATATCAACTGACCGAAAATGCCAGACTAAACACTTGCTAGTTTCCGGATAACCTTTTATGATTTTCTTTCTCCACGTTATCTAGATCGTGACGACCACTATGATTTACCAAAGCGTTATAAATCACTTCATATGAAGCCTAGATTACTCAGCTTCAGTCAAAGACATGTATTTCGATCGCATTGGAGAGATAAGAACATAGCTTTCAAATATGGCTAGGGTAGCTGTTGGAAGGGGACACCGAGCAACTAACCTAACAACTAGCAAAGAAACATCGGCCAGGTCATAAAGTCGGCGCTGGACTTTGGAAAGCTGACGTATAACATATGTGTGATAAATTGAGGTACGAGGCGCAGCTCCCCACTTTATGGCTCGATTCTCAGCGCTATCAAGATTGTATATTTTACTAGCAGTTGTTTTTCAGTATCTGCAACAACATACTAACGTCTCGATATCCCTGTTCCACGAGTATGCATAATGGATTACTTTGGGTATGCATTGTGGTAAGACATACTCAAGTGTTTGATGAGATATACTCGAACTTTCTTGATGATGAGTACTTTGGATCTGGCTTGCTCGGAGATATACTCGAACTCCTGAATGAAGATAAAAAGAATGAGCTTAAAACATCTTTGATCTCAAGCAGGAGTAGGCCAAGGGTAGAACACAAGATTCTTATTGCCCCACGAGGAGTTTCATGATGCTTTAACGATGTCTCGATGGTCTCAGTAAGTCTTATCTCGCCATTATTATATTTGAGTTCTGTATATTGGTGTTCCTTTGTTCTGCCCGTTTTGTATGTTGTTATTTTTCTGCCCAGCTGAGCACAAGTAAACATTCTCTATGGTCTAAAAAAAAAGTGCAGATGAATACCAAACCAATTGGCGTGGAAACTTGCCCACCAGGTTCGCTAGAACATGGCGACAGCATGCAACACAGTACCAAACAAAGTGATACAGTAAGCAAGCTGAGCGGAATCTTGCGCTGCGAAAGCTAGCAACCTGGGAATGCAGCAGAATTCATAATTTCATATGCAGGGCATCAAAACGACAGACAAAGTTTCGCAGTAGAAGTAAAATGCTTCGAGCAGAACTTTCATAAACCCATTCTTTGATCCCCACCTCGAAATCCCAACTTCAAATCTAAATAAAAGCCAAGTTTGACATTCTCACAAGCCCCAATCCACCTCGTCTTTACCCACCCATCTTTTCCCGCCCCATCAAACTCCTTTCTTGCTAGAAAAGCGCCCCACTGCGTCCACCCCATTCACTCACTCACATCTCCAAAAACAAGCCCCAACCCATCCACCCACCCTCAAAAACAGCAAAACTTCAGCCGCGACGGCTTGCAGTCCCAGTCTACATGTACGATCAAGACAGTTTCGAACTGTCTTGAGAAACCGCACTCTATGCACTGTCCCATCGAAGTATCACAATGCGGAAGGAAGGCGAGATCTTAAACGGCGGGGAGTGAGAAATTCTAATCGCTGCGCCATGAGGCGTGTGGAATGCTTATGTTGGGATGTGGGAATTGGGGGTATATAAAGGTTGGGGGAGGGGGAGGGTGGGGTGGGGTGTGGTATTATTTGGGTCGGGCGGTGTGAATGGGTGATGATGATGTAGAGGAGATTTGAGGGGGGGGGAGAAGATTGCATTATGCGCATGGTCTGAGAATTATTTTTTAGGTATTTGGGTAGTCATATTGACAGGCGATGGGTTCACTCATTACTTTTCGGTGTTCTTTCCTATAGGTACTCGTTACTGACTACACTCAAATGTTCGATCTTTTGAATTGCCCATCTGCATTGAACTACTTTTGCATGAGCGCAGATTTTCCCCAACTTCATTTAACCAATCATCGAGCATCTATTTCAGTACCTTTTTGCACTAGAAGGCTTCTATTATACACAACCACACATACAACGGAGTTGGGAAATAGGATTTTGCAGGGAGATAAATTATTACCCTGCCCAAGGAAGACCAAGCAACCATATTACCATTCTCAGCCAAGAGTTTCACTTACAACGCTCACCCATCACATATTGGACTCTTGACAATCATTTTTTTTTATCATTACTGCTATTATTATTATTATTAAGCCACCTGCCAGCAGCTGTAGTTTGAATCTTTTAGAGAACAGTTAACTTGAAATCTAAGCGCATTTCGAGAGCTTCTTCGCGAAAGCAACCACAGCAAGACAAAATCTTCCAATCTGCATCTCCTTCTTCCTAGCAATACACTCCCTACCCCAATTTTAATGCTAGTATAAATCAGCAGAGCCGATGGATTGAACGATAATAACAACTGATGTTTCAGTTCCAAATACCAGTCGCCTTCAATGTAACTGATGTAACGGGCGTGATAACAGCTTGTATCATTAGCCATGCGCCAAGGGAATAACTGATTCGCTTGCCAATTTTAAATTAAACCTCTTGAAGCATCGAGTCTTCTTCTCATGGCTAGGACCTCTTTGCATACCATATCGACCCACGCTTCAAACCTGCTTTCCATCAGTATGCCGACCAAGGCTTCAAATTGGCTCCGCTAAAACTTAAGAAACATACTCAGGAATTCCATCTCCCCAATCAACTTTCTCATAAACCCCCTTTTCTTCTTCTTCCTTAGCCGTCAAGCCTGGTCCTCTCCCAACTCTTCTATCTGCTCTTTCTGTCGCCCCAACTCCCATGAATAAAGCCCGCGGTGTAATTCCCACACATCTAGCTACAAATTCTCTGAACTTCTGATCTGGCTCTATTGCTTCCATTGCACTAACACCACTTCTTACACTGCTATCTCTAGATACAGTTGTGCCACTTTCCATTCGACATTTTCCAGATGTTTGGTATTCAGGATTGATTTTGGTATTGGAAGATGAAAATGGATTGATGTTTGGGTTGGGAGAAAGGGGGGCAAGGCTTCTGGCAGGGCGTCCTTCCATACGAAGGTAGAATTCCTCGCGAGAGATATCGCGGCCCATGGCTCGTACGGTTTGAGCGTGGAGACGGGAGAGGATGTCGAGATCGCAAGCATGAGGACCAATGGCGCAGAAAGTTGTTGGATCTTTTGTTTTTGGTTAGAATGAAGCTCTGTTTAATGATAAAGTCTTGCGGGTTATATTCAGATAGCGGTATCAGTAATTACTTACGGATATTTGGTGGAAGAACTGGAGAAGGAGCTTCAGGTATTTGGGGTATCTTTGGAGAAAAGGTATAGGAACTAGCACGACTTCCATTTCGTTTGTCGGAACTGAAAGACATGGTTTCTGATTGCCAATTATGAGTATAATATGAGAAATAGAATCTATGGGCAGAATTTCCTGTATTCGATTTGACTTTCCTCTTCGAACCTATCAAATATAGCAATTGTTGAGTATGAAAGGACAGAAATCTGTATCGTAGGAAAATATTGAATTGAAAAGGGAACGAATTAAAAAACTCTAAAAGTTAAGACTCAAATGGAAAGAAGGACTGGGTGACAATCGATTCACTCTGCGTTTGTGTGCCGATGAAGGTGAAGGTGAATGGAAAGTCGAGCAAATATTAATTCGGTACTGTACAGAGGAAGGTTATTGTATGGCGTGATAATTCCGAGCGTCGAGAGACCAGCCAAGTCGGTAGTTTTAATTCTCATTTGAGGCTAAGACTAGTTCCTACCATTTGAGGTAACAAGAAAGAGCTACAATCTGGAAGGAAAATCCAGACGAGGGAAGCTTACTCACGTGTTTCTCGGCCTTCATACCCTCTAAAAAACGACGAAGTGTTTTCACAAAAAACTCTATCGCCTGAGAAGGAGATCTCTCTCGCCAGTCTAGAATGTCTTGAGACAACATGGGATATTGTAAGAGAGACTTGCAAAATAATCATCACTCTTTAAGCATCTAAAGAAAAAATGTTCGAAAGTAAAATGTAATTTTTACTGGCCTATCAGACTACCCTATTATTGGCCTCTTTCCAAAAAGCTTCTATCGCCCTCAAATCCAAAGACCACTCTGCAAAACGGCCCTATAGTCGGTATCATTTGGGCTAGAATAAACAGGTAAGCCTACGTGTTCATTCAACCAATCTAACACAGTCTTATGCCACACCAAACTGTTCTCCTGGTTCAAAACCCAATGGTTTTCATCAGGGAAACTCAAGAATTTACTCTCAATACCCTTTGCCTGGAGTACATTGAACGCCGCAAGACCTTCCGCGATTGGAAGACGGTAATCTAACTCATTGTGGTTAATGAGATGAGGAGTCGACCAGGCATCGGTGTGGTTCGCTGGATTCCAGCGTGCGTAGTTGTCGAAGTTTTCCCAGAGTGTTCCGTTGAAGTCATGTTGCATGAACCAAAGTTCCTCGGAGGAATATTGGGCAAGAGTGGAGAAACATCCATCGTGTGTGAACAAAGCCTTGAACTTACGTCCAAGAGGTTGGCCTTGAATCCAGTTCACCATGTATCCACCATAACTGGCACCCAAAGCGATAGCTCGATCGGTGTCGACAAATGAGAGATTTTCTTCGATGTATTCCCAACCTTTGACGAGATCGTGGTATGGTCTACCGCCCCACTGGTTTTGAATTCCATCGGTGAGGTTCTGACCAAACCCTGTACTACCGGTAGGGTTGAAAGCTACAACGACATAGCCTTGTTCGGCGAACACAGCCATGTTCCAACGGGTACTCCAAACATCTTCAGTTGCTCCCTGAGGTCCACCGTGAATGTAGAATGCTAGGGGGTATTTTTGGCCTTCAACAAATGTACTTGGCTTGATGACCCATGCGTGGACGAGGTAGTCTCCGTCGCCTTGGTAGAAAACATCGGAGATGGAATCACGGGAAAGTCCATATGCCTTGAGGCTGTTGAGATTGGCTGAGATGGTGGTGACACCAGATGATGCATTAGTGGCAGCTGAAACGCTGGGGTCAACGGATGAGAAGACCGAGTTATCGAGATAGCTTGAACTGCTAATAAGTAACTTGTCTTTTCCTTGCGGGTGAAGATCTGTTACACCACCATCTTTGTAGATAATGGATGGAAGTGTTGTGTTTGCAGGATCCGAAGAAAATGTGAAAAGTCTAACTCTAGCAAAATCTTCGGCTACTGCGTGAATAGATTCTCCATCTTGACTGTAAAGGAGTGTACTTGGGCTACGATCCCAAGCTCCCTTTCCATCCTCTGAAGCAAAGAACTCAATTGCAGTCAAATCGGAAGTGACGTCTGCTACTTGTAGAACACGGTTCTTGTCACTTTCGTAGGCGATATGTGCCATACGAATGAAAGCAAGTGAAGATCCAGACGGTGAAAAGACTACAGCGTCTGAAGCACCTTCGAGATTGGGAGTGGAAACCACTTTCAATTCTGGAGAGGTTTCGGTAAATGTAGTCAATGGCACATAGTAAACATCAGATTTGGTTGTGGTAGCTTGGTTCAAAGTAATGTCCTTCGCAATGAATGATAAACCTTTGCTACCAATGTCAAAGCTGTTCATAGTCAGAAAATTTCCCGGAAAGTAACATGACGTCATTCACTTGCCTGTTTGTAGCACCAAACGGTGGGACAGGCGATTCGAGTCCAGATCCATTCAACACATTAATTGGTTCGCTGAGGGTATAATTACCGCCCGTGGTTGACAAAGCCGCGTACCAAATACTGTTTCTTTGGGATGTAATATCTATTTTATGTTAGTGCTGGTTTTCAAACAAAGTCTTGTGAGTTTCTTACAAGTATCCCAATGCCTGACGAAAATGGTGGTATACGCTCTTCCGGTCGAATAGGGTGTAGGAGCGAGTTCGGAATTGTACAAAGTACCATTGGGTAAAGCTTGGCCACTGAATGCAACACCAAGAGTTCCCTCACCAATGCTAGTTAGCTTGAGATTGTCTACTGCTCCAGGAACAGAACCTGCTGAGGTGGCTCTATAAGAAGGTCAGAATTGAGTCAAGATGCAAACAGGAATCCGCATTGAGGTTTGCATAGTATTTTGTATAGCCGAAGGCCACATGATGGATGTTATAGAAGACTTACTCTGCGCTTGGTGCCGTCGCGTCTCCCACGACGAAACTAGTGGATCCATCCTCCTCCGAAACGAACCAAATGATCTTACTTCCATCGCCTAACCAATTGGCATTGCTGATGCCACTAGAGTTGCTGAATAGCCAAGATGTACCATTCGCAAGGTTCATCACACGGAGCTCATGAGAATTGTGATGCTTCTCAAATGAGTAGGTGGCCACAGTGTAAAGTGCAAGCGTTCCATCTGCATTTGGGATTGCCGACCCTCGACGAGGAGAACTCAACATCGCTTGAGGAGTGAATGTCGGTGTAGAATTGGTGTAGGTAGCATTAGCTGCCCCTGCGGATAGCAGTGCCACCAACGACAAAGAGCTCCTCATCGTAAAGAGCATGATGAGCAAGTATCCTAGCGGACTGTGAGGAAGGGCGGTAAGAGGAGGGTGACCTCGAGACACAACTTATCGGGGAAAAGCCGAGCTTTTATATATTTACCATTCATCCCATTGAGCCCCGCTAATTGCATTGTTATCTCGGACTATGATGTCGTGCTAGAGTGCCAAGCTCCATAACAGTAAACATATTGACAGTTTACATCCGAAGTTTAAACAAGGCAATATGCATTCACTCAACGGTAAAGTCACACAAAGTGCGGAGAAAGCTTTCCCCTGTAATGTTCGTCTGTGGTCTTATCGTAATACCAGGATTCTATAAGGTAATTCCAATTGTTTGGGAAGATCGGCCAGGGACACACCCGTTGGAATTGGCTCGTTCTTCTGAGTTTACTCGTATCGATCCCAATGCTCAACCATGAGGCTGGGCCAATCTAAACCTGAGGGGAAAGTCCGTAAAAATGCTATCGGAAGCTATTATCCAAAAGGAAGGTGGGATTGTCTTGGCTATAAGCGCCAAGCGCCAAGACACGCCACGATAAATTGTTGGTGGGAATTGAGCTAGGAATGAATGTATATCACGTGATTCGCCTCCAAAAGCACGAAAAGTCTGCGATTGCGTGCCCAAAATTGTGAGCCGTTGTAAACCGGCCTGTACTTCGAGCAAGTCTCGATCCGTGTTCCGAGATAGAGGATTTGATGAGTATAAATTCTAACATGGGGTCAATGCAAGTGATCAACAATCTGAATGCTACAATGATCTTAACGGATACCCAGACAACGACTTCAAGCGAGAAATGGAAGTCTAAAGACCCGAGAGTTTTGAAGAAAAGTGACTTTCTCATTTTAGAGATTGCGATTGCACCTCTTACCCATCAATAGTGAGGATCTGATCGACTCGAAGAAAGGCATATTATGTGTGCTCAAATAATGCATTCATAGCCATGGGCCAAAAACCGATCGGCACAACTTGTACCTTTCAGAAAATATAGTATACATGCTACATACGCTTGTAGTACAGTGGAGAGAGTTTATTTAGTTCGCCATTACCATCCCAATTCATTATGCCTTTTTGTTTTTATCCTCAAATGCCTCGGTGACATTTAATCCCAGTCCCTCCGAATCCAAATACATCTTGTTACGTCCACCAGCCTCTTGAATGATCTGAGCGATTGCTCTAGCATTCTCGATTCTCTTCAAATCGACGTATGAACGACTCTTCTTGATAGCATCACCAATCAACTCCGCAGATCGTGCTTCTCCTTGGGCCTTAACAATCATAGCTTGCTTCTCTTGACGTGCCTTGTCAACTACGAATGCAGCGCGCTGAGCTTCTTGCTGTGCAACTTGCTTGGCCTCTACTGCTGCTGTGAACTCGGGAGAAAATGCGAGATGCTATTCACTCATTAGTATGTGTGTCATTTTTAGAGCATCTTATGAATATCATACCGTTAGGGAAACATCATCAAGCATGATGTTGAACCTAGCTGCTCTCTTCGACAAATTCTCTCTGACTAATCTTGCAACCATCTCACGTTGGGTAATCAACTGACTGGCGTTGAACTGCGCAACTACACTCTTCAAAACCTCATTCACAATAGATGGCAATACTCTCTCATCGTAGTCGGTACCTAAGGTTCGGTAGATTTGAGGAAGGGCATCGATTCGAGGCCTTGAGAGAACACGGCAGGTAATGTTGACCATCTGCAAATCCTTTGTACCGGTGAGGGAGGCGACATTACGTGGCTTCGCTCGAACATCATAATCTATAGGGGTCTCAAACCATGGAATCTTGATATGTGTACCTGGAAAGTGAAATCTTAATATTAGCCACCACAATGTGTGATATAATCGCCCCAGGAAAAAGTAAATGCATACCTTCACTGTAGATTTGCTTGCCAACACCACCTAATCTCGTATATTTGATAGCTCTGTGACCACCATCAACGTTGAAAAGCGCATTATTTCCAACAACCATGATTCCACCCAGTGCAATAAGTGTAGCCACTCCACCTGCTATTCCCTTTGGTGCCGGTCCTCCGCCACCATTTCTACTTGCTTCACTTGCCATTCTCTGCAGCCTCTTGAATACATCTTGCGGATTGTTCGACATGATGGCAGCTTTCGAAAAGTCGGACACAATATCGATCTAAGAATTAATGTGGCGGGGTTTGAGGGGAGTAAATTGAGATGCGGAGGGGGGATTTGTGAAGCTCTATGATCAGATCAACGAAAACCGTCCTAGCGTATTTTTAATTTAGCCGCACCTCACTCCACATAAGCTTTAACGCCAAGCATAGTGAAAGTCGTGAAGCGCGATGAACTAAACCTTACTATCATTTCTATCAAGGACGTATGCCCCTTCCATACTGCTCAAAACAACATTAAAAAACAATCGAATTTTTCGAACAGAGGCAGTACTATTGAATCGCCCTCGCTTCCACAATTATAAAAGGGATTTGGATTGTCGGTGCTCATAAGGAAGAGGACAAGAAGGATTTTAGAGTAGCCAGAAATCACTTCTTCAAAGACTTTCTGTGCCATTTCTCAATTTTGCAGTGACAAAAGAAGTGATCAATCCATTTGCATTCCTTTCTAAAGGGTCAAATCTTGCAAACAAAATCATCTCAACTCTGTCCATCGCATTTTCCATAGTCTGGAACATTCATTATCTCTTTCAATATGTCAATAAAACCTCCTTCCAAGTCTGTATTTGTTGGAAATATTCCTTATGGTAATTTATCTTCTTTCTCTTTGACTGGTCATCTTTGCTGTACCGTATCAAGCTAATTTATGCCGTATGAAAAGGTCTTACCGAGGAACAGATAATAGATATCTTTAGCAGTGCGGGAAATGTTGTCAATTTTCGACTTGTCTATGATCGCGAAACAGGTAGACCTAAAGGCTTCGGTTTTGCAGAATATCCCGACTCAGGTACGTGCAGTACACTGCGTATTTGGTTTGCGACTTTCCCATCCATGGTTACACTGCTAAATGTTTGCGCGTCTATCTAGATTCTGCAGCTTCTGCAGTAAGAAATTTAAACGACTACGAAATCATGAATCGAAAATTGCGCGTTGATTTCTCAAATGATGGTGGTGAGGAAGAAAATGTATGTCGAGCTTCTACCCTATAACAAACCGATCTACAAATATACCTAGAGATTATGCTAATTTGTGTCTCTTTTCAGTCTGCGCCAAACTATCAACCTCCCCCTCTCAATACAAATGGCCTTCCAGTTCCACCTCCATCTCTACCAATTCCTCAAGCCTCAAACACCGCCCCATTGCCGCCTCTACCAATAGGCATCGAGTTACCCCAAGGCCTCACCTGCCCTGATGCCATCTCTCGCACTCTCAATACTCTCCCTCCATCCCAACTTCTCGATGTCCTCTCCCAAATGAAGACTCTTGCCTCGACCGATCCTCAAAAAGCGACCGAACTTCTTCATCAAGCTCCCCAACTCTCCTATGCCGTTTTCCAAGCCCTTCTTCTGATGGGCCTTGTTCAACCCGAAGCTCTCTCGTCCGTTATTGAGTCATCGATCGCAGCACCAGTATCCGCTCCCCCCGTCCCAAGTATTCCTCCACCCGTTACGGCTATTCCTCAATATGGAGGGTCGGCATACCCATCTGGATATCCCCCCCCTCCTCCACATATGTCAGGCCAAATGGGTTTGCCCATGATGGGTACGCCGCCAGTGCAAGGTTATGCGCCACCTCCTCCACAACAAAGACAAGCTCCTCCACCACCAGCTCAAGTAGCCGAACCAGATGCAGATGCGTTGATGGCGCAAGTTATGGCTATGCCACAGGAATTGATCGATAGTTTGCCACCAGCTGATAGGGCACAATTGATGGCGCTGAGAGCCCAGTTTCGTGGATAAGTCTATGGTGCAGGTGAAAGGAAAGGGTTCAATTTAGGAAGAAATTCTCGTGATTTTTCACCTCATGCTTCCTCGATATTTTCTGGTTCGGAGGTCAGGCGTTGATAGGTAGTTAGCAAAGGAATCAATTAAGTAGATACATCAAGCAAATGTAAATTTAACTGGTGGTTTTATTCGTCTGTTGTTCATTCAACTATATATTCCCATGTGCATAGTTAAAATGCGTGGTATCAATGCGATTCTACATCCTTCAAAATCTAGTATCTCTCCCATCCGACCTCTTCTAATCTTCCTTTCTTTCCTACAACTTCATCTTCCATTCTCTTCATGTAGTCCTCCATCTTTGCGAATACCACACTATCACTGGCTCCGATTATCCTTGCTGCTAATAACGCTGCGTTGACGCTGTTATTAATAGCAACAGTTGCAACAGGGACTCCTCTTGGCATTTGTACTATGCTCAAAAGACTATCCATTCCATCTAATGTGCTTCCCTTCACTGGTACACCAATAACTGGAAGGGGGGTTTGCGCAGCGATCATACCAGGTAAATGTGCCGCCCCTCCTGCAGCAGCAATGATAACTTTAAAGCCGTTGGAAGCGGCATCGCGTGCAAAATCTGCCATGAGTTGTGGTGTACGATGCGCAGATGTTATAGTAAGGAAGTATGAAATTTGAAGTGAATCAAGAATAGCAAGGCCGGGTTTGAGAACGGGGAGATCGGAGTCTGAACCCATAGTAATAGCAACGAGCTTTTGAGGCGAAGGTTGAGATGAGATTGTGGTGGATGTGGATTTAGGGAGACCTTTTCGCTCGGCACGCATGTTATCGTTAAGCGTGATTAAGGGAGAAATAAGTTGCTCGGCTTGAGCCATGGAGCTACCAATGACAGTGATATGACCAATTTTGCGGGCTGGCTTGGATTCTTTTCCGTACATGTGAAGGTTGGCCGTGGGGATTGCAGCGGCTTGTTGCATCAACTCGTTGTGGGAATCTTTTGACGCTCCACCAAGGATGTTCAACATGATAGTTGCAGGAAACATTGAAGGAATAACTGAGTTGGGGAAGGATGGCATGATACCCAATATTGAAAGAAGTTGAGATTTGTATTGCGACATGGTTGGGCATGCTTCAATTGTGTAATGTCCCGAACTATAGGAAAATTGTGTCAGTACTCGTCCAAACTCGCCTGTTGAAAGAATGCCTCAAAATACTCACTTGTGAGGGCGAGGGGCAATCTCATTGACCAGTATTTCACCATCTTCCATAACAAACAGTTCAACTCCAAAAACACCTTTACCCCAAAGACTACCCACTGCCTTGCGCGCTAAGGTTTGTGCTTTCTTTTGGAGGTCACTGGAAATTCCTCTTGCTGGAGCATAAACTAATTTGCAGATGCTATCTTCGTGGATTGTCTCGACGACTGGGTATGCAATGGTAGAGTCCCCATCTTTGGAAACTTCGTTTTCTGTCTTCACAACCATTACCGCAAGCTCCATTCTGAAGCTCGCCCATTTCTCCGCATATAATGATCTATCCTTTAACACTTCAAGGGCATTCTTGATATCGGATTCCGATTTCACAGGACAATTACCTCGTCCATCGTACGCATCTTTCCTTGCCTTAAGCATGAATGGGTATCCGTGTGTGCGCCCGAACTCCTCAAGATTTCCAGCTTCTACCGCTTGTGATGTCGCAGTCTGTACTCCAGCTTTAATGAGGTGCTCTTTCTGTAAATACTTGTCCTGGATGACTCGCAATGTCTTCCAGCCTAAAGTTATATTAGTCTTGTCTCAAAGTTTGAATATCAAAATGAATACCCACTGGGTTGAACTTCCACTCCAGAGTTTGCGAGCTCTTCCAACACGTATGTGTCCACATGTTCAATTTCCACTGTCAAAACATCTACTTTCTTTGCAAGTTCGCGGATTTTCTCAGCATCAATGAAAGAGCCATCAAGATGGTCATTTTTGGCATTAACTTGTTTGGCTGGTGAGTTTGGTGCATCGAGAATAATAACCTTGACACCAAGAGGATTCGCGGCTTCGCAGAGCATCTGCCCCAATTGCCCTCCTCCCAAAAGTCCTACAGTTTTCTCCATGATGTCGTATAGTGGGGTGTTTGATGATTGCGGGGTATTGAGGAGGAAGAAAAATTTGGGTTGGGGTAATATATATTTCCAGCATTAAATCCCGCATTTGCTCACCGCTATCGGGCGGTGAGTTGCGAACTCCGATTGAACGATATCAATGTGAACTGCTATCCTAGAACATGCATCAAACAGCATTTTGGTATGTGGAATGTCAATGAAAGATAACTTGTCGCTCTTGGTACATCAATCTTCATCCGATTTCATTGGCTTGAGTCACATACTATTGACTCTAACTACATCCGAAGCTATCTATTTTATCTCGCTCGGGAGATCCGGTGTGTAGCAATAGCACCTGGGCAATGTGTGGAGCGCATTTTTCGAAAGTTGTCCCAAAGCGTTTTGAGAACCCTAAATTCCTAGGTATTTAGAATGATGCTTGTGGGCACGCGCTTATCTCAGGGGGGCCAATATTACCTTTTGGCTTCGTTGTGGAGGTGATTGCCTTCTTCGGGAACATCTTTTCCACAGCTTTGGGGTTTCTACAGTTCTCAATATGATATTGGTGTTCGCAGAACACGGTCTGACAACGTCGAGCTGAAAGCCATACATCATAAACTTGCGAAGCCCAATACCGATAATACCTAAGTGGTTATTCTGTATAGACCAAAGGTCGGCAATCGTACTGTTAATATGTTTGTGATAGATCTGCTGGTCTGATGACTAGTACTTGCAGCCTCGAGATATTGTCCGAGACTGTCAAAGCAGCCATTGTGTAAACCGGTATGTATGACTGGAGGTTACATCAAGTGATGCTCACGTCGCGTGGCGGTTTGCGGAAATCTACCGCTCTGAATCATTCATCATTCCATGTTTTATATATGAATTCGGCTGGCAAACGGATTGCATCAATATTGAAATGTATTTTTTGGTTCCTTCTATTCCTATCGAAACATTTTCACTCCATTTACTCGTGCACATAATTCTTCTCGTTTCGATCAAGTCATAACACTCCTAAATTTCTTCGCAAGACGTTTCAGAAACAGCAGAGCTCAAGATTCATGTTCCCTTGTATTCGTCAGCTTTGTGACAACCCTAAAATCTACAGCAAAAGACTATGGCCATGTCTTCTGAGGGAAACTCGATCAGTCCCTACGAGGAAGAAGCACCTCCAGCATACTCGAGCGTTGACTCGAGCGTTGATGGTATGCATAGCATACCTGCACCACATCTTGACACGCTGGATTATTTGAAATGCAGACTGGCCATGAAGTTTTCCAATAACAATAATACCCTTAAAATCCTCATTTTCAGACATCGTCTGAGGTTATATGAGCTTTATCATATGCCAGATCATACGTTGCCCGTGCGGATACACCTCATTAAACTCGGATTTGATGCTCCTTGTGAAGTCATGGATCAGTCAGTGGAAGATTGCAACCTCCAGCGCATGAAGAATATCGAGATTTGAACGATTGTCAACCAGGAAATCTCATATTTTGTTCGAGTCTATCGGGGAGGTCACAATGGGAAACATCCATCGCAAAAAGAGGTTATTGATTATTTTGATGCGTGGAACTATGCAGTTCAATACTACGAAGCCACAACTTTGAAGCGCACCATATCTTGTGAGGAGTAGTGATATGATGGGGAGATGGTAGCGCCATGATAATTCTAGTGATTATTCATATCCTCCTCTCTTGGAGTCATATTTCCCAAACAATAATATCTGAATCATATTGTCTATCCAAATTTTATGTATAAAAATCTCCTTTGGTGGTGTTCTTTCCTCATACCTAAACTTCAACAAAATTTCCTTACAACGCTCCAGCCTTTTTCAACCCCACTGAATACATATCAACATTGTAGATACACATCACACAGCTTTCGTACCGACGCTTTGGTCTCCGTATTCTGAAAGAAACCCCCAATAGCTGACGAAAATACATTGTCTCAAATCCTGCCAACCTTTCAATGTATGACGACTGTCCAGTTCCAGGCGATGTGTCAATGGTCGGATCTGAAACTTGGTTGGCGTCCGAGAAATATTTAATGCTATTGAAAGATTCGGTACCTGACGAAGATCCACGAATTGCACCCGTGATGACGTTATCGCTTCCAACGCAAACTGCTTGCTCAGGAAATCCTCCACTGCCAGCTCTAGCCACGGAGGTGTTATGGTATGGGCATGAGAAGCGGTTCAAAGAGTTCCTGAACGTTCCATATTCTCCATACATTATAAGACTTCAAGAATTCTCCGCACGTATCAGCAACAACAACCACAACAATGACAAGACGATATTCATTCCTGGGTCCCCTGCAACCTTATTGGTGAAGGATGACTTGCAGGATGCAAAGCATAAATTGATTGAGCAGCTGATTCGCGTTCAAATAAAGAGCTTTGAGAATGTTCGTGGAACATTCGATAAGCTCACAAATTCATATCAATGCGAAGGATTGGAATGGTTCGATGAATCATATGACAATTCTATCATCGATTTCTGCGGTGCTCGAAAGGACCAGATTGAATTGGACAAGCTCAGATACGGAGCGTGGCAAGCTGGAGCTCGTTGGAGGCACGCATAATGATAATATGGAGACAAAGCGTTCCATCATTTGGACGTGGAGAATGGTAAAAGTCTTTGATGTTTGAAGGCAGTCCAATAAATAGAATAAATCTAAAGTATTAAAACAGTTTGAATGGTCTGATGGGTTTCACAAATTGAAAGCTTCTGATTGCCAAGACGCAGTCCTGGTCTTTGAAAATTCTGGACACAGCCTGGGAGCATAGATTGTCTGAGAATTTCGCTTGCTTTCGAATTATGGCTTGACGGTACCAAGATACGCGGAGGTTGATACACTTCTTTGTTATAAATTATGCATAGGCAATATCTGAATCACAGTGAGCAATACATGCCTCAAATTACACGTTTATGATCTAGATTGCACGAGAACTGTCCACTTCAATTAAATCGCTTAAATACTCTTCACAAGTACCGGAGTACATTCAAGCAAACGACACTGCATCAAACGTCCAGGTTTTCATAGCAGTAATCATGTTCCTCAGCAATGCAGAACCCGAACGCCGTCCTTCAACATCCATTGCCCCTGGCTCAAACCTGATGACCTCGAACTTAAACAACTTTCCTCGAGCTATGCGAGCCCTCACTCGTCGTTATAAGGAAAAAGCTGCGAAAATGGGCATGGGCATGGAGTGGATCGACAAGAAGGTATCGGAGGATTTGGAAATTGTCAAAAAGGAATATTTATCGACTGGAAAAGGGCAGCCTTCTGACGAGTTTGTTCTCTGGTTCTATGATATCGAACAATACGATAGAGATTCACGCTAGATTTGATGGGTCTGTCAAGACATTGTTGTGGGAAACAGTCTGGTTTTTGGGTTCTAGTTGGTTTCGAAAGTAATAGCCAATCTACGTGGCGTGTGTAGATAGAGAATAATTTGAGACCGGGATACTCCATTCAAATGATACAGTTTACTTGATATTCACTTGCTATTCACCAATATAGAGTTAAGCATTATCTGGAGAGCCTAGAGGCATCAAGGCTTGAAATGAGTTTGTGTAACTTTTACTCTTGCCTGATGGCTTAAGTAGATCAGAAGGATTCATTCACAGTCAAGTGGACTGGTAATGATTATTCAATGCAAGGATACCAACAATGGTCCATTCAGATTTGGTGTCACTCTTCCGTGCTAAACCATTTTTGGCCCTTGATACAACTCTCCAGTTATATCGTACTACATCTTTGCGCAACGTTGAAGACAAGAACAGCCTCCAGCCTCAATTTTTCTATATGTACTCAAGTAATCAGTCTTTCTATACACCAGTGAACCATCTATCACTTGAGACCTTAAAAGATTAGTTATGCATAGTCCGACCACAGACTCATTCATGGACCTTCAGGCGCTCTTACTTGGCACTCCTCTACCAACTTCCTCAAACCCAACTCCACCTCCTACCCCCCAAAAGGCTATCCATCCAACTCATGAAACAAGAGCCGCCATACAATCGCCAGATCCCAAATCAGCAAACAGCGATAAACACCCAAGAGCTTCTCATCAAGCAGTATATACCTCCTTCAGTAGTCTCGGTCTACGGGAACCAGCAGGCCCAAAACGTGTCGACACTTCTAGCCAAGAGGATTTAGTCACTGTCTCTTCTCCTCCGACAGCTATGCAACACATCAAAAGTGTGCTGGGAATCGAGCTACCTCAAAAGTAAGGAATCTAGAACCTGCGATGATTTAGGTATGATGTTTTATATTATCTAATACCAAGGCTCCATTGCTGACTTATTGAAAGGAGCTTGTTGTACTTCTGGGAGTTGTGTGTGAGAACGTGTTGCTCGTTGAAGGAGTCGCGATATTGGTAGACGTTGGGACTTTTGGGAAGGGAAGTGCTTTGTATATTGAGCGTCTTTGAGTTCGGTTCAGAGATATTGAAATTCAACATGAATTCTTATTGTGCATTTATCATTTATTGTGAACTGAGTGAGAGGAGTTGTGCTGGGGTCATAGGGAAGTATTCACTGCAGCTTCATCTTCTTATCTCTACCTAGGTACCTATTGACTCGAAAATTAAATTTTCCTGACTGTGTATTATCATTGTCAAATTCCAAGCGGAGCTTTGCCTGTTACATATATTCAAATGATTCAAAATATTCTGTCGAGTCAGCAGAATATGGTTCCAGGAGCTATATATATTTCTGAACACTCTCAACCTCATCTCAATACTCACTTCATCTCCCGAAGCAAATCAGAACGACCCATCTAAACTTCCCGGCCATATCAAAGTAATCGATATTCTAACAAAACATCTGCGACCCGCTCAATCATCCTCGTGCTCAAAATGCTTTTCTCCAAACACCCCTCGAAAGCCCCAGATCAACTCGAACTTCACAAAGCTGCGCTCCTTTACCATAAACAAAAGCATACTCTGCCACCTATGCAACAGGTGCAAAAGTCTCCAGTCTATTCACCTGAAGAATCTATACAACAAATAGTAGGCGCATCAACAGATTCCCAAATATCAATCGGCAATGTCTTTCAGGATGGATTACCAAGTCTCCCAGTGATGTATCTGCCCGAACATCATCTTGTCCGACTTCGAGCATTGAAAATACAAAGAGTTGATAATAGCTCATCTCCAATTGTTGAAAGGAAACAGGTTAAACAAGCTAAGCGAGTCAAGAGGAGCGAGGATGTTGAGAAAAGGAAGAGGGTCCAGAACCTACTCCCCAAGACCGACATCGCCACACACAAGAAACCAATGCACATAAGCAATCTCTTTCGAGCACATTTTCACAAGCCAAACATCCGTACTGCTTCTAATAGACTGTTCTCGAAGTCACCCAAGGCGAAAATCGAAGAGAAAACCAACACCCATATCGAAGAAGCAAACAAAGCCAACTCTATACCTCCAGCTCCCCTCAACGATTTTAACTGGCCTTTACTCCCACCCGAAACTGCATCTACAAGCAATCTGGCCCTTCGCCCTGGTGCGGAACACAACCATGAAAATTCCGAGACTACCATCACAGGGGAAGAAGAAAACAAGAACGAGAGTCACTGTCAGAACTTAGAATCAACCAAAACAAGCGAGACAATCACAGAGGAAAAACAAGAGTTAGATATTGGACCTTCAGAAGCAAGTAGAATGAAATTATACCAGGCGTGGAAGAGACGAATTTTGGAGCTGAGTGGTGCAAAAGAGGTTGAATAGTTGGGAATTTTCAAGATTGGTTGTTGAAAGTTGAAAGTTGGAGATATTTGATGTTTCGGGGAGTAAGGGAGGGAGATATCTAATTAATACCGCTCTGTGGGTAATTATTATGTTCAATGGCGTTTTATATCTTCTGTATTTTGTAGCAATTTCATATTTCTTAAATCATATGTTCTCATCCGAACTTGGCTTGTTACTATACATGAAGTTGATTTCTTATTGATTATTACACAACATATCTGACTCGAACTCGAAAGTTTCGAATAAGTCACACAATCTATATATGAAAATGCAGTCATGTACAAGAAACAAACAAGAGGACTCATGATACTCATCAACATGGTATTATATAATTTCGCTGTTTCCATTTCTTAATCCCAAGAAACAATCTATGAAAATCGATAACTTTTCGTCGTTGCACACAATACACATTCCCATTTCATCAACGTACAAACTATAGATCAACCATTCAAGATGCTTGGCTCCGTTCTAACTCCACCACCTATTGCTAATTACACAGACCTTGAAGAACGTCATTGGTCTAAAGAAGAGCCTCCCTCATACAATTCAACAGGGCCTTACCTCACTAGACTAGACAAGTTCGATGATCTGCATCTCGATGGCCCCAAAGACACAAACGATGATATTGCCAATGAAGCAGCACGAGTCTCTACTGGATGGGTCGACGCATCAGAAGCAATCATTTCACCACCCATCCAAGCATACTTTGCCGACGTCGTGGGAAGCCAGATATCCAACACCAGGGCCCCCTTTCCAGAATCTCAATGGTCCCAAGAACAAAGTCCTCCTGTTTACAAACCATACCCGAATGAACAAAACAGGATCGAAAAAGCCAACTCTCAATTCAATGACGAAGCACCACAATCCTCTACCTGGTGGTCCACACAATGGTCCACAGCATGGGCCCAAGCATTCAGAGAAACAATTGCCACACCCAACCCTGCTCACATTCCCTCTACAAGACCTCATCACCATCCCTCCACTAGTAATCTCAACCGCCAAACCAGTCTCACCGGTCGAAACCCATACAAAGGATTCCACAAAACCAAAAATCTCCTCGCTAACAAATTGATGAATCGAATCACTGACATGCACGGAAGCGCGCACGCTTCCATAACTTCCTTCGAGGACCTTACCCCAGACCGTCGAAACAAATATGAACAAGCAGCAGAATCTTTCATTGACTGCGCCAAAGATCTGATTCTACAAGCTCAAGGTCCCAATCAGCGAGTCGACGATTGGATGATCATGGGATTTATCGACGAGAAATATACGGTTCCGGAAGAGGGAGAGAAGAAACCATATTTGTATGGAGAGTGGGAGTATCTCTGGGCAAGTGATGAAGATGAGATTGTGGTCACAAATGCACTGATAGGAAAAGATCCGAGAACGTGGAATCCGTGGAAAGATGCTTGGGCATGGTATCGCATACCGACTGTGGAAGATTGGAAATGGTGGTGTGGAGAGTGGAGGAAAGTGCCGGGGGCGATTCGGGAGTGGAAACCTACGGAGGAAACTTGGCCGTGGCAACGAGGTTTCTGGGCTGGAGTTTAGTAAACTTCATTTCTTGGAGGGGAAATGTGAAGGGTGAGAAGATATGTTGTTAGAGGAGAGGAATGTAATTTTCATCGTTTTGTTAGTAAAGGCTTTTTTTTTTTCAAAGAGTTCAGACAGTTCTAAACAGGAGGAGAAGGTACCGAGAAACATTCAAAGCAATTGTATCATATTTCACTTGAAATCACTGTGTATGATAGAAGACACTCCTTAAATATCCCCACACATAAACAATTTGAAATCAGACAAAGAATCCCCCCCAAAAAAGACCAAGAAGCATCGATGATATTAAATTACAACAGCTCAGAAAACCTAAGTCCTAAGAGGTGCATACATGCGCCTATTCATAACTATTCAAACCACACATGGCCAAAAAATCTTCACTCGTTCAATTCTTTCTAGACAGTTTACCCACGATACTCAAGTCTCAAGATTCTCGCTCCCCACAAAAAGGGGTTCTTAGCAAATACATCACAATCTCCGTCTCGCGTATCTCGCTCTCCCACTCCAATTTTCCTTCCACATACTCCACCATCACCATCACCACCGCCTAAATCCCTTTCCCTCTCCCTCTCCCTCTTCCTCCCCCTCCCCCCTACTCAACCCCCTCAATCCATTTTTCAACCCCCCTCTACACACCACTTTACCACCACTCTTCGCAATTGCAAAAAGCACTAACGACTATTACGCCGCACCATTCATCTCAACAGATTCATCTGCATCAGATCCGCAATGAGCTCTCATGCTCTGGAACAACGAAGCGTCGGTCACCGGATATCTGTGCTGGATGGAGGGTAGTGAGAACGCCGTTGTATTACTCGAATCTTTGTTTCGAGGTATGAAGGAAGTGGAGACAGAGACGAAATCTCCACGCTGTGAAATATGGAATATGCGAAGAGAATCCCCATATATCGAAATCGAAGTCTCCTAAATACTTGTAGCGATGTTTGTTTTCCGAATGAACAAATCGATAGATAAAAAATTTGCAGTAGAATTCTTCACCTAAACTTGAACACAATATCTATTTCTCTTCCATTTCCTTGATCCTTTCCATTCCCCTTTCCATTTTCACATTCAAACCTCCCAACTCAAGCTCACAAGTGACAAATCTAGCTAAACTCACCATCTCACACTCTGATAATACATAATATCCATCCATTACTATTACTATAAATCAAACAATTCGAGATTATTTCTCACAAAGAGTCTATCAATCAATCAATCAATCAATCAAGTCATACATATACCCATCTGTACAATGAATCATACAATACCCAACTCCCACGTACTCACATCAGCAAAACAAACACAAGCACAAGAATTCCCGACTCAAATCCCCTCAAACGATAAATCTTCACCATATGCATGCCAAAAAGATAAAATGAACAAAGTTCTCCCCCTTTCCCCCTCTTTCTAAAAAATATCCGCAACGCAACCTACCCACCCATCCCATCACAACACAGCCGATACATACAGCCAATACACACACACACTACATACACACTACACGCTCTCTCGATTCTCTCTCTATCCTGCGAACAATCTCCAAGATCAAGAGCCGAGAGTCTTCCTCAGCCCTATCTTCCTCAATCTTATCTTATCAAACCAAAGAACCAAGGAACCAAACGACACCTACCTACCCTCCTAGGCATATAATCCCGATCCCTAGACTCAGGAACGTTCCAAGTTCCAAGCTTGCTCTTAGTAATCTTACTTCGTAGATAAATTCGCTTAACGGTTGGTTCAAAGGTGGCTTGGCTTCACTTGGATCTACAGAGATCTGCAAATACGTTACTAGTATATGTATTCTGCAGCATGAAATTTTAGTGTGAGGATCATTGAGATAGGTGAGGAGGGGGAGATGGAGATTTCTGCTTCTCTCGTGTTCTCCTGTAGCTCGTGTTCCACAATACTCTGCACGGAATAGCTAGCTACTCCACACACACATTCCACTCACAAAATCCCGTTACATGATATCTCCGTCCATGAAGGGATAGGCATCAATCATAGGAAAAAAGAAGTCTATAGGTACGATTACAACCGAGTCTATTATAGTTTCTAGGTAGGTATCATAAGTCTCTCTTTCAACTCCTAATCACTTCCTCGAATAACTCGATTCGTCTTCCATCCTCCATCTTTCACTAATTCAAATCGCCTTCTAGGCAAGCCCACCCCATTTTCTTCAATATACAAAGCTTGTGATTATACACTTGCAGTAATAATAATCCACCTACCCTCCCAACCAAACATCCATCCATCCCTCCTTCCAATCGATCAACCAAACAAATAATAATGCCAGGAGGGAAAACTTTCTTAGGTATTCGCAAACGCCAAAACTCCACATGATTCATGTCATTCCATCATATCCCATATGTCCATCCTTGTATCCCCTAAAGAAATGAACCCTTTTCTCCCAACGCAGGATCACTCCTGGGAGGAGAACGATTTCTTCTAAATCCCTTGGTTTCAGAACTCCATGGTTCTAATTCTTCAAGATCCTCATCAAAAGAAGGAGTACTAGATGTACCCGATGGACTTTGTGTTCTCGTGTCCCCTTTGACGAGTCCTAATCTTTCTTCTTCGGTTGCACCCTTAACAACCTCATCACTTCCATGTCGAGAACCCATACGTTTTCTATCAGGTGAACGGACTTCTTGTGGAGGTCCGTCAGTTTGTTGTGATCCTCCACCCTTTCTGAAGACATTCTGGAATGAAAATTGTCTCTTGGCAGAGTGAGGTGGGGGTGTAGGCGGAACCAAATTACTAGCTCTGGAGATTGGACGGTGTGGATCTTCTGCGATAGTAACATGTCTACCTCCCGAACCAGTATACTCTGTCTTCTGATCACGTAGAGCAGGTGGCAAACCTAAAGTATGATTATCATGAATGTAATAAGCTTCATCGCTATTTTCGCTCTTGTAAATATCGCCATCACCGCCTCTGTAGGTACGAATGTCGGTCAAGGGAACAGGGTGGGTAGGACTTTGCAAGTTGACAACAGGATTTGTGCCCGAAGAAAGAGATTTGCCACGAGCTACACGGTTGCGAATAGTGCCAAAGATGGAAGAACTAAGACCGGTACCTGGACGATCCTCTTCGTCGCGATCTTCTTCAGGATCCGGGAAATGAGACATACCGAGAGGTGGGTGAGCAATGGGTGTTCTAGGAAGAGTTGTTCTATGAGTTGGTTGATGGTGCATATGTTCGGGTAAAGGAGGAACAGATGAGTTAGCACGAGATCTCATGCTCGCGCTATAGTTCGAACCAATTGTAGTTCTGCGTCTTCGGAGACCGTCCCATTCAACTATTTCATCTTCACCGAGTGGTTCCAAGTGAGACTCTTCATGAAGCCTCTTCGCTTCCTCCATTTCCATCTTTTGTCTAGCTGAAGAGAATTTTCTAACAATAGCTGCTGTTCCTCTGATAGCATCTGCCTTTGGTTCAGTTTCTGGCTGTTCTTGTTCGGCAATAATGCGCATTTGATCGAGGTCACCTGCGAAAATGGCAGCATCTGGAACATCCTTGGCTGATTTCGAGAGTTGAAGAAGGACGACTCCAGAACAAATAACCAGAAAACCCATGACAACCGTAATGATAGAGGTTGGAGTGCCTTTGAACCCTCTAAACAAAATGGCCGAAGTGACAATGGTAGAACTCGTAAACATAACATAATATGTAGGAGTTACCAATGCCGCATTGTAAATGTTAAGTGCTTTGTTCAAATATATAATCTCCGTCAAAAGTGTGCAAACGACGAAGACGAATAGAACGTACAAGAACCACTGATTGTACTGTTTCGTACCACCGATTTGAGTGACAATTGCAGCTCCCAGACCTTGTGTCGCAACAACACTAAGCCCTCCAATCAGACTGCAAATTGACAAATACACAAGCATGGATTTCTTTCCATATCGTGGTCCAGCCCAAAATCCAAGAAAGGTACACCCGATGATGATGACGCCGGCGTAACTCAGAAACCCCGGAGCAATGACAAAATGCTGCATTTCTTGAATTGTCGCCGCCGAAGCTTCCGCGGGCGCATTCATAACAATAACCACAGATCCAACAATGCATAGAAAACATCCCACCTTTCCAACCATACTCAGTCGTTCCTTGAGGAAGATTGCGGATAAGATAGTGGTAATGACGACACTGAGTGCGCCCAGAGGAGTAACCAAAATGGCATCAACAAATGCATATGCAACAAAATTGCAAATTTCTCCAAGAATCATGAGACTCATGCCCGACCACCACAAGGCATTCTTGAGGTACGCGTATCCTTCTCCTGCTTCTTCATTATATTTCTCATTGGCTTTCAATAATCCAATCTTCTTCAACACAAACGATATTCCGATGAATACTCCTGAGGCCACAGCCAATGAAATTCCGATAGCTTTATATATAGGTGGTCGAACTTCGGTTTCGGCATCTGTAGTGGTTGTGCCATTTGTCGTATTTGCTCTAGCATATATGAGGTTCGCAGTCAGGAGAGCATGCCCGGCTTGATCCATAATGGAGGAGGAGTCGGCGGCAAATCCGCCTAGAAAGGATATGGAGACTTGACGTTTTTGTATGTCGCTCAATAGAGATCTTTGTAATTGATTCGGTCTTGGGGAAGGTAAATCGAATAGGGATATTCCTTTACAAGTGAGAAATTAGTTATTCAGAGAAGTTTTGTGGTTATGGTTGAGATTTCATGTGGAGGTAAATTGGTGATATTCCTTGATTATTGAGGAATTATGCGCGCCAACAGGTGTCGCAGTTATTGTGTAGTTAATTATTGAGATTGCGTGAATTGGAGCGGGAAGATATTCTCGGAATGAAGCAGACAGAGAGTAAAGCCAACAGCAAATAAGTTGGTTATTAGTATTGTCTCGTTTTGTTTTCTTTGGATTGCGTGTGCGAAGATGTTGTTCTGGGGAGATGTTTGAACCAAGTCTGTCGAGGACAAAGTAAGCAAGTTGTTATTGTTTCTCGAGTCCTTTTGCAATAAATCATAAACGATTGTATCTTGAATCAATCCTTCAATTAAAAGAATAATTTATAAAATCCAAGTGAAGCGTGCAGTGCAACATGGAGGGAGCATGAAGCATGAAGCATGAAGCATGAAAAGGAAGAAAATACAAAAGTGGATTGTTCAAGTGTATATTACGATTTTCCAATGGAAATGTAGCTAGAACGCAGTGTAGTGAGGGTCGAGAGGGTTTGACTTTTGGGTGGATAAGATTAAGAGGATTAAGAAGATTAAGAAGATTCAGGCCGTTCGAGAAGTTTATTACTTTGACATTTTAGTCGAGGGGCTGGGCTAGCAGGCTTTGAGATATAAAGTACATCACTGGCTTGACTGGGTTTATTATAAACTTTATTGACAGGTTTTTTTTTTTTTCTTTCTTTCTTTCTTTCTTTCTATAAGATACAGATAACGTTAGAGTAATAGGATCAATCGATATTGTATCATCCAATAACGATTTCATGTTCCATCAAAAATGATAGGAGGCTGTGCTAGAAGTATGGTGGATCGAGAAGATATACAACATGACATGGTACACAATCCGTACATCGCTATACATACATTGGAGTTGGAGGTACACATGAAAGGTGTACATAGGTACCCAGTATATATAGAAATCTCAAGTTTGATGTACGGCAACGGTGCTCGAATGGAAAGATTGAATTGGATATTAGATGATACACACCTCCCTGTCTAATCTCACACATGCTAATCAACCAAAAGAACAGAGAAGGTAGGTTATCGTGCTGATGCCCTATGCCTATGCCTATGCCTATCCCCATGCGTATGCGTATGCGTATGCGTATAAACATCCAAGTTGATGTCATCATTAATAAGAATCTCCCTTGAAACCACAGACTGTGAAACTACGGACTAAAAGTAATTTTACACAGGAGGTTGGATGTATTAGTCTATCAACAAAACCTAAAAGTCGATCCTCTCATGGTTCGAATTTAGAAGCGAGGAGGGGTTCCAAGGGTTTATCTACTCCGTAATAATCAGTGGAGGAGTGGACTTTGATTTCGGAACAGATGAAATGATGGATTATCATCATCTTTTTTACCAAGTCACTTCCTCCTTACACGACTTATTTACTACTCACACTACACCAAGCAAGTGCCCCTTTAATCGGTTACGTATGTTTCATCTGCATTAATCAATTTTGATTGGATGAATCATGTCAATTCTACTCACCCTTCCCTGCATGAACGCGAGCCCGCTGTGAGCCACAAATAAATGATATACGGAGGACGGAATACCCGCTTGTCCAGCAACGCGAAGCAACGCGAAGCAACGATTCACGGAAAAGTATATTATCATGTCATTGACATAGTTATCATACATATCATTCTTACCCTCTTCTCTTCTTTTATCACACTCTGTCGTCGGTACGGTTATCTCTCGAATCGAATGCTCACGACACTGGATACTACCTACCACCTACTACCTATTCAATCTATCAAATCTCCCAACAACCGGAAGAAATCACGAGATTCCTTACCTTACCTATATTTCAATCCTATATATATTCACAACTAATTCAACACACATTGAATGAATGACCTTGGCACGCCAACTCCCCTTCCTCCATTCATCCCCCCAAATACTATCCAGCATGTCACCATCTCACTCACAGTGGCAGAGTCCATCCAATACGAGCCTTCCCAAACACACACCTCGCTAGCACTCCAGCCAAAGCTATCCATTCGTGTTATGCCTGTCGTTATACATAGTAACAAACAAACAAACAAACCAACCAAACCGCATTGTACATACGAGCATAGGTACTCATCCACCCCTTAGCTCACATGCGCAATCCCAGATACCTACCTATCCTACCCACTCACCTAGTCCAAACCTGCGCCTACTAACTAACTAACTAACTAACTAACTAACTAACTAACTAACTAACTAACAGTCCCCATAACAATCCCATAACTATTTTCCTCCTCCCCAATAAAGCCCATCAGAATAAAACCCATCAGAATAAGTACCAATCCCAAAATAAATCCCCCAAAATAATAAAAATCTTCCACAACCAAGGTCGGTCCCAAACACGCAATCCATCCACACCCACACCCATCTCCCATTTCACCCACCACGCGTACCTACTTCATACACCCACCATCCATCGTACCGCACATGCGCAGACAGCGGCATCCCCATCCCCATATTCTGATCCACACTCACAATCATCGATACTGCATGTACTATATCTCGCACATTCCGCGTTTGCATTGCAGGTTTATATGGATTGTCCGTCGCTTTTGCACATACTCCGTACACCGATATTGAAGAATTCGAAGAATGTAGAGAGGGTTCGGTTGATATCTAGGTATATCTAGGTATATCTAGGTATATCTAGATATGAATGTATTTGACCAGTCCTCTCAATATCATCTCTGATCAATCACTATCTACTTACATACCTGTGAACCTATAAACCCAAATATCCAATCCAATCCCACCTCTTCGATCTCTCCAATCTCTCCATTTCAAATTCCATTCAAACTCCACACAAATTCCCAACAGTTAACAAGTACCTACCCGAGCTACCTAGTGCTCCCAAGCATCCAAAAAACACAATCACGACAAGGGCAGGAACTTGATTGGTTAGACTCGATGAAATCAACGTACAGAGTAAGCTGATACCATACCATACCATACCACCTCGAAACCACACCACACCACACCACACCACACCAAACTATCAACATCCATCCATCCATTCCTCCATCCATCCCTCCATCCCTCCATCCCTTAACTTCCGAGGTCTGATTGATAGATAGATAGAGAGATAGATGATAAGAGCATGCGATTTTTGCGGGGAAAGCTTTTGCTCACAGCTTTTGCTCACAGCTCACAGCTCACAGCTCACAGCTCCCTCACAATCCGCCGTTTCCTTTCCTTTCCTTCACTTCACTTGTCATAAACCTTAGCGTACACCCACCATATTCAGTAATTAGTACCTATTCAATACAGGAATCATTCTTATACCAAACCAAACCAAACCAAGTGGTCTTCTATCCGAATTTCGAGAACCTGCAGATACAGAGTCCCATCACCACCTAGTATTTACAATGAATGCAACATTGAAATTCCCCTTGAGTTTTTTAGATTTTCTGTGAAGAAAAAAAATTGATCACGTGTTGAAAAATCAAGTGATATTTTTGCACGAAGAAGGAAGTTGGACGAGAAGCTCAACATTTATTATTGTCGAATTTGCATTATATTATGTTGATTGCTATCGTGTTTTTTCCAGTATACCACTGAGTACTGGATTCGGAGTGGAAGAGATCCACGAGATTCATGACATGGTGGATGTCGAATCGTGGCTGGATCAATCCTGTACATGTACAGCAGTATTCAATCACAAACAGTAAACACAATACAATGTACATAGATAATCTGGATTAATGTTTCTCGTCTAATAATCTAATCTAATGCATCTATTGGGCATACAAAGATCTAAAAATCTCGCCGATGCCACGCCAACATATCCCTATAATGTATGATCCGTAAGAATGGTACAAGACCATCATAAACCATTCTTCATCCAGAGCCTTTCTTCAAAGCTCCATTGTCTTTGGCAGAATCACCCGAGCGACTCCAACTCACTCTCTTAGCAAGCTCCTGTCTGACTCCCCATCGTCCTTTATGAGGAGTTTGCTGTGGAACATCCAGTCCAAAACGTGAATACTCTGCCCATTGTGTGCGATAATAGCCCGCACCGCGACCCGAAACTCCCCTCGGAAGAACTCGCTTCGTACCACGGAAGTCAATCTCGCCATCATTCTTATCAGGCATACCACAAAAGATACCTTCTACTGTTCTGCCTCCTCGTGCTCGAATGGTTATTGTACCAGTGCCCTTCTCAGATGACCCGGAGAATGTTCCCTTTCCGTGCCATGTGAAACCCATTGGATCATTGTGCGTGAGGCTGTCGATTTCGTCATCCAAAAGGAAGAAACCTTCAACTATGCCAATGTCAAAAGATCCCAGTACTTTTCCTTGTTGCTGGTCCACGTGAAGGCGAACCATCAAACCCTTCGACTTTGACGACCAATCCTCTTCTATCTCCTTACTAGTGATGTCATAAATACCTGTAATCATTTCAGCGAAACTCTGTTGGTGGTCCTCTGTCCATTCCTCAACCTGCGATGTATCACCCTTTGGCGATGGCGTTGAACCTGCACCATCACGTTCAGTGTGTGATCTTGTCATTGTCGATCTTGGAGTAGGAGATCGTGGCTCTTCATCCTCCTCAATCTCAGCATATCCATTCCATTTATCAAGAAACTGTTGAATAGACATATCAACAAGACACGAGCCATGAGGTATCTTGCCATGAAATTCACAACGACTACCTGGAAATCCAACACCAGACATTGCTTCAAAGTGTCCCCAGATCTTGCCATTGCCAAATCGAATCTTGCCGACAGTAAAGGGGGAATTGAAAGTCTTATGTGGAATCTTTGAATTGATGCCACGCCATTTGAAACGATACTCTCGAGTAGTAGCAATCTCATCATCCCCATCATCTGCGTCATCATCATCTCCAGACTCTTCACTGGATTCCTTATCTTTTGCTCGTGCCTCGTGGAACTTTGAGTATTCGATATCTGCCCTGAAGTGCTCTTGACTAGGACCAGGATCAATAAGTAAAGAACCTTTGAAAACGTCCAATTCAAAGGTACCCAAGAGACGATCATGGTCCCAGATTAGTTTGATGCGTGAAATGTAACCTAGACCAGGGAAACTATCTAGCTTAACTTTGTAGGTGGCCTGCATGTTTCGCAAACGGTCTCGATAGTACTCATCTTGAAAGGTCATCGCATTTATGTGCTCGTTGTCGCGTTTGCTTCGATTGGCAGCTAAGCACTGGGCCATGTTGGGGATCTCATTCTGACCAGAGGTTTGCTCTCCAGTCTTCTTTTTCCCGGTAGTTTTGCCGAAAAACATATTTTTAATTGCTAAATTGTAAGTTGAACGAGCAGAATACGAATCCGGAGGTTTTGAAAGACGAGGTGATATATTTGTTTACTCGAAGTGCACCGTGCCTGGCTAATAAAGCAAGCACGCTGTTTGCGACTGCCACTTCTTCAATGTTGAGACATACTATCTAGTAATGGGTTGATAAATGATCCAAGGACTGATGACGATTTGATTTTCTGCTTCTGAGTTTGGAAACCGAGAGAAGTGATTCCGTCCATTCCATTTACCCTACCAAATCTCCGAACTTGGAATTCTTCTTCCCTTCATCGTTCCATAAGAGGAGTTAACATACACTATTCAAGAAGTTGTTGTTTTCGTACAGCTTTTTGACATAAGGTACATTTCTGAACTTGATTTTCGTCGATGAATGCGCCTTAAGCCTTCAAAACTCCTTATAGACTGCCTTACGAAGCCAAAGAAATCAAAATATGAAATTCACTCCTCGAATCCGCATTTAGATAATGAAATTGAAGAATCATTCTTCTGACGAAGTCTCAAAAATTGTGAGAGCATGTGATTGTCGAAGTTCAATATAGACGGCAAAATGTATTTCAGGACTTCGAGGTCCTGACAGATCATTTGGTTATTTGAAGCATGAAGGACCACTTGATAATCAGTTTTGGACTTAGATGATAACAAGAGCATCTTGAAATTCGAAGACGGTCGTCCTCACATGGGGAATGTGTGGTGGTCTGATAATCACCACGCAGCCACACGAAATCCTCCATCCTCCATCCACAATCTCACAATATCGGTACGGATGAAATCACAGTGAGGGGTGAATATCTCTACAATATTTCCAGATCAGTATTACAAATGATATTATTATCTGTGTTTATGAATAATACTATACGAATTTTGGAACTCTTTGGCTTTTGAGAGCTCATCTCATTCATAGATCCGTATCATGCACGATCTCATCTCAAGAAAGGCATCATCCCATGCTCGATCCAGCCCAATTCATAATTTTGCTTTCCATCTCGAACTCATGGCCTAGATTAAAGTATATTGCACACCCAAGGCTCGAGCACGAGTTCTCCAATCATTTCCTGCGACGACCGTCGATATGATTATTGACAGCGTCATTATACCAACGGCTTGTTCCAGCATAACTCCGGACGACTTCGGATTTAAGTCTGATTGTTAAATTTGTTTCCAAACATCCGTCGTTGGGGCGACTTTTCGTTTATTTGTGTCTCGACTCTCGAACTCTGTAAAAGGTGAATATCATTTGACTCTGGTGGGATTTTATTTTAAGTCAAGATTATTCAGGTCATCTTGGACACCCAAAATACCAATCGCATAATGAATTCTCTGATGAGTACTAATCACGAAACCCTGATCAGTTGCTTGCCGCTGTTGCATTGCAACTCTTTCTCCATTGCGTGTAATATTCACCACTTGTGGACTTACTCGCTCGTCTCTCGTCCTTGTGTATGGTGGACCTCTTCCCATTTCTCCAGCCTTGACCCAAGATGTTTCGCAACCGGAAGCAACTTAAAATATATTAGTAAAGGTAGAAAGAAACATCAAGTCCAAAGAGAATGAAGAAGTTACATACTAGCGAGTGATGTTTCCCAGCCCGTCAAACGAGCCACATCGTTAAGCCGACATATTAGCCATGTCCGCTGGTCCGGATTTTGAAACTACAAACGGTCAGTACAAGTTTACAGTGCTCAGATATTACAGACTTACTTGAACGCCCGCCATAAAGAGACAGATTGTACTTTCCATAAGTGCTGCACCAACTCCCGGATTGACTTGAGGTGTCATGCTTAGATCCGGCGCAATGCCAGCAGCAATACGACCGAGCTCGTTTGCAAAGAACGCTGTCTTACGAGCCGCCATGCCTGCGGCTACCATTGCTGCTGGTGGCATAGAAGGATGAGATCGGTGGCAAGAAATAAGACCCATGTAATAGTTCATCCAAATGCCAGCAATAC